TGATTGACTTTTAGCAGTTTTGCTTCGTCCACTGTTTCCCTTGTTTCAACTTTCCAGACCACTCTCTGAAAAAAATTTGCAGCGCAGAGAGTCTATGTAGGTTCCTGCTCATGACTCCTGAGCTCTCGGTGGTTGTCGAATTAAGTACACGTTGTTCGATAAGGTTTTAAAAATATTGTTTCCCGATAGCTTTCTGTCCAAAATTTTTTTAAGAGTTGCGAATTCTCCTCTTTCCTGCCATGGAATTATAACTCGTCGTGATAACTTTTTATGGGCCTTTTTTATAGTTGAAGTTTTCAGCCTGCGTTCCACGAGTTCTGCAGAATGGTGTCTCGTTTGAAGACCAATTTCCAATTGTGCGAACTAATAAAAGTGCCTGATTATGCTGCTGTTATGCGCCTTCTAGCACAGTTCACTGTGGAAAGCCTGCGGGTATTCTTTTTCTTGTTTTCTGTTTTCTTCCACCGTCTGGGAACGGCTTCTCAGTTCTTTCATTTCTGTCTTTCTTAATTCCTCAGCTGACTTCAGATGATGGATCTTTCCGCAAACAGTACCTATTTTCTGTTGACATTTTGGCAACGTATGGTCACTTCTGTTCCATATGTTCGCAGCAGTGAAGATCATCTACTTAATCTGTGTTGCCCTGAGATTATGACGGCGTTTGTGGAGAGCCGATTGCAGAACGTTGAAAGAGTTGTGAGGTACTTCCTTATCGAGTTTTTATTACCATCTTTCTTCCGCAGACACTGAAGATATGTGATATGTTTAGTCATTCTGGTAGTATTACTGATATTGATTTATTCGATATCTCAAGAAAAATATTGCAGAGACGGCCATGATGATCCATTGGAAGATCAAGGAGCGACACTCCAAATAATGGAGCACTTAGCGATTATATGTCGATGCGAGTATGAGAAGACTGCACAACTGCTAGCAAACGCTTTCGACGAAAATGCGAGAATTATGGAAGCAGGACCAGAGGGGGTTGGTTTTTTTTTCGTTGATGCTGATTCTTCTCGGTTTTTTCCTTTGATTAGGTATTGAACACCATGTGACGAAAGTTTTTGATAATTCATGAGGGGTGGTTTTTCGAGGGCTACTTCCACCTGAAGGGTCTATCAGCTTTTTTTTCTGTGTACTAAACTCAGTCATCTTTTCCGTCATTGATCTTGTCAGCTTTTCAGGATATTCGAGTTGTTATTGCGGAAGGTAGGGCTTGTATGGTTGGTAACATTGATTGGTACTGCAGTTTTTGGAAAAACGGCTGTGTCAAATAACGAGGAGCACGACAAAATGGATGGAGATCTTGTGGCGAGGTGGGGCTTTTTTTCTTGTAATTGACAATAGTCATGTGATCTACGATCTCTTAAGATAACTGGGATTGTTTCAGATGCCTGAAATTTATGCGAATCAGCGACAATCGACTTATCTTTCCCACAACAGTTAATGCCAATCCAGGGAAAGGAAATGTGCGTCTTGAGGTAAAGAAAGGTTTTCTACTTGTGCTCATGTTTATAGTTAACTAGCGCCCTGGATGAGTGTGGTATTTGGCGGTAAATTAGGGACTGGGCGGGTTAAATATTATGAGAGATCTAGAGCCGATAGAATTTGGTAGATTTTTTTTATGAAGCGTTATTCAAAGGGCACATTTTCATTAATATTTGGCTTATTAATTTCTTTTCGTAAGTCGAAATGTTATCAAGGAGTGATTATACTGTTGTCTTAGCGCCCACGGTATTGGAGGTGAACTGACAGGAGGTTGTATAAATGAAATCGGCATCCGCCACAGTTGTCGATGAAAATCGAGTCATAAGGGCCACTCCTTTCTGTTCTGGGGGTGTAAGGATGAGAATCACAATAAGGGCGTTGATCACACTAAGAAAAGGAGCTTTGATAACACTTGCATTCGAAGGAACTTTCTAATAAGGACCAACTGAATCAGCTTGTAATGGCGCGGAGAAGCCTTTCTGAGCCAAGTGTCGTTTATTTTTTGCCTAGGATCAAAGATAGCGTAGGTAGGGTGGGGAGGAGCTCCACAGTGGGTAGACCGCTGAAATATGCAGAAAAATGGATGTCGGTGATGTCCACCGTTCTTATCAATAGTTACCTTAAATGAGCGTATTGTCAAGGTTCTAATTCTTACCGCTAGTATCCGTAGCCTCATCTTGATCCTTATCGCTAGAGCGGCAGAGCAGATTAGAACGACTCCCTCCAACTCTATTTTCACCCGAATTTATACTGATCAATTTCTTCCGCAGGGAGAAAGACTATCAATAAGTAAAAATATACCGTTTTCTTTGCAAAATCACCCAATTGGAGGTGAAGTGAAAGGGGTCGTATGTCTGAAACCTGCATCCGACGCAGTTAACCCTGCTTGTGAGCAGTTTCCTACCTGCTCTAAGAATAAGCTCGGTGCTTATAATTTGCATTCAGGTGGCCTTCATTCATCTTCTAGAACAGTTCCGTCGTGCATATATTATGGACCAGGTATTGTACTTTCTGTGCACCTTCGCATGCTTTCCTATCCATATTCATGAGTCTTTACAGATAACCAAATCGAGCCCTGTGTATGACAAGCTAAACACGGAGTTAGGTGTTTCTGACGAAACAGATATGCTCAGTGTTATTGTTCAGAAAATGTAAGCGGCACGAATTTTCCATTTTACATGATTACACAATTAATCTTCGATGTTTCAGTCTAACAAACCTGAAGTACTGGGCAACAAATGAGCAGATTCTGGAGCTGTCATTATCTCTCCTGAAGGATCTTTCACTAGGATATACAGCAGTTCGAAAGTTGTTTCGATTACAGGAAGTTCAACTGCTTCTCAGTAATCACACGGTAAGAATAATGTTTACCACGCAGAAGGATGTGGATTTGTTGGTGTTCGAAACTGGAAC